TTTTCATTGTAGAAGAATTAAATTAAATTTTAATAAAGTCAGAGACATGGTCTCACCATTAATATTCAAAAAAAAAATAATAATAATCTTGTTTAATCTATTTTAAAAAGCTATTATTTTATACTAACTTTGTAAAACAAAAAGAGATTTGGATCATTTTTAATTTTCTAATAAAATAAGAGAATAAGATTATATTTAAATAAAAAAGATATTCTTGTGATTAGCAAATCACTGTATAACTATTGGCCAATTATTACTATTCTTTATATATTTATTTAATTTATAATTTGATTATTATAATAGTTCTATACTTTTGACAAAACAATATCTAATATTTATTTAACTTAACTATCTATCCAAAGTAAGTAGTAAGACTGTTATTAATAAAATGCTTCTTTAAGATTAGGATTTACACTAAATATTTATAAATCTATAAATAATATATATATAAGAGATAATAAAGCATTTATTTTTTAAATAAAATTGATTAGAAATAAGAGATTCTTTCACACAATAAATATAGCTATGATTATTAATTATATTTTTATAAAATTTAATTTTATTGGCGACCAATTTTGATTGGTTTTAGAATATTAACTAACTTATGTTGAATGACCTTCTAAGGTAATTTAGGTTTTGAAATGACCAATGACTATTAAGTTGTTATTTGAATTATTCAGGTATTTACCACCCTTGCTGCCCATTATTTCAGCAACCAATTTTTTTATATATACCAAACTCCCGAGCATATCTTTATACCTTGTTTTTATAGTAAAATTTTTCATTTTGTAATTCTAGATCCCTGGCCATATTTCTGAAAAAAAATAATCCCAATAAAGTTAACCAAAATTTGCTACATATATTTTTTGGAAAATTAGCTTTAGAAACAATGCAGAACTATTCGTAATTATTTAAACATATAATCTAAGCACATATTTATAGTGAATTGATAAAAATTTAGCATTAAAAATTTCTAGTAAAAAAATGTGTAATTAATTGGAGCCAGTGAAATTGTCAATAAATTGCAAAGACTGCCAATAATAACATATTTTTAATATGCTTAAATTTAAATACTTGAATAAATTGAATAATTGAAACACACAAGATAAAAAGAGTATAAAAGAAGAAGTTTAAAGATTAGATTTATTTACACACACTACGCTCATTATAGCGTATAAATTGGGCCGGCGACTCCGTACGTTACAGTAACTTTCGTTTAAGTATTAAAAGAACATTAAATGTTCCGGAAGATCCTTCCTATCGCTATAATAAGAAATCCGCTACATGTTCTGTTATCTGACATATGCGAAAAGCACAAATATAATTAAAAAAGATTTCCATTTTTACAACACTAAATAAAAATATGTCTCCAGCCTATAAAACGCAGTACTTTTGCTAATCATTTAGGAACAATTATTTTTCCCTATAACCTTTGACCTTATTAATGTTAAATTTCTTTTGTTTAATTGTATCACTCGCAGACTTCCGATCTGTCATGTCCAGCTGGGACACGAAAATTATGTGACTTAGTGTGATTAAACAAAATCACACTAAATCACATAATTTTGCTTCACTTATATTACGTTAGTATCATGCGCACTCGTTTAAATTTTTAGTATCGTAATATTTTAAAATGTATAATAAACTATGATATTCTAGTAGTATATTAATTTATATGGTATGCTAAAACACCATAATCAATTCGTCTTCAAAATTAGAAAGAGAATTTTGCTATTTTTAATAGTTCAAAGAACAACAACGAGTACTTGATTAAAGATAACAATTAAGGTAATATCGTTAATTATAAATAAATTTATTTTAGGTTAATTACTTTGATACGCTTACAAATTTTTATTAAATGATGTGTTTTTTTAACAAAAAATGAATCAGAAACAGATAAATTTTTTAGTTGAACACAATATTTTTATTAAAAAGTGTTTTTTTTTAACAATAAATAATTAAAAACAGATAGCAATTTTAATTTTTAATCATCGGTAAATCGAATACAAATTCTTATCGCATAAATTCCGTGTCCCTGATGTCCAGGTGCACCTTGCAGATCACCGGCAAATTTTAGTGTTTAGTATTATTCGCTCAAACTTTAATGAATGATTTGTCATTACGCACCCAATACGTATCTATATTTATCCGACAAACTCTTATGGTCATGAATAGCCATCTGTCCTGTTATTTTTATCCCTACAAATCATCATAAATTGCCGGATAACACCAATATTGGCAACTTCAACCGGGCAAATGATTGGCACGTGTTCATTTCCCCCGATTTGCCAAATTACCGTTATTCGACAACAATTCTTACCAGATCCGAAGTGATGTAAGGTCGTGTAACCCACATTTGTGTCCTTTGTTGGTTGACAATTTCTATGAATCTCAAAAATCAGGTTTCCCGGTTTATGAGTCATTACCAATTCGAAAGTTTTATTGCAATTAACAATATTTTTAGATATCATTTGAGTGATGCCAAGGAAAAACCTGTAAGCAAATATTTAGGCATCAATAAAGACAACCAGAACACTGATTGTATACAATGATTTAATACGACATAACACAATTTTCCCACGGGTAAACTCGCCTTATTGATACCTCAAAATTGGCTTACAGGTTTTGCCTTGGCATCACTCATTTGTTAATGAACCAATACCAACTATCAGTTATTGTCAAATGATGATTGTACAACGTGTTTCTTCTAAAAATTACGTTTATTTCCAAACCCAAGTTTTTTTTTTTTTCGTAGAGATTATATATAGAACAGACTAAGTAACTTTAGAAGCGATTCTGCAAAAGGAGAAACCACATACATACACTAATAAAGGTTTCAATAATAAGCTGAAATGATTGTAGCTCTAAATTAAGTAAATAATTCTTCTGATGTATAAATACACATTTACAATACTGCAATACTGTAATATGTGGTTTCGATGCTTGCAGAAGTTTCATTGTTTCTTCATTTTTTTGTTTTTTTTTCCTTGTTATAGATTATTTAATTTAATGAACGATATGGGTAAGTACACAGCAAAACCATGCTTAGAGTATATAGATTATATATACTCTAAGCATGGTTGTGTACTCACCCATATATGTACGTATATGGATTGATAAAAATTTCATTATTTAAAGACGACGTTCCCTTCAACTTGATTCTCTCCAAAGTAAAAAATAATGTTATTTTAATTTAATTAAAAAACGATCGTTATGAAAAAGGCAAATAAACTCGCATCGAATATCACTCCAAACATACCTGGGCCAGGCTCTCGAATATTTCGTGCTGATGGTGTCTCATTTCAAAATGAGTACGTTATCAACGACGAACAGCTTCCTGCACCCTATGAGTTGACAAATTCCTGCCGCTCAAAAAAAAAACCATTGAACCAAAGACCCAGAATAGTATCCTTTTGTTTCGCAAAGATTATGAAAAAATTTTTGCAAAAAAAATTTATCTTTAGCTGCTCAAAGGTGGAGTCAATTAGAAATCAAGGCCCTAAGAAACATAAGGTAATGTTCCCAAATTACCAATATCAACTTCATAAGAAAAAACAAGAATTGAAAAAAAAATGTTTTAGAGGATGCTAATTGTTTAAATTCTTGGACTTTGCCACCACAAAGCCCGGTCCATCTCCGGAAACATTAGATTCAAGCACTACAAACGTATTGTATATTAACTCACAAGATATCTCACAAGATGACCCACAAGATGACCCACAAGATGACCCACAAGATGACTCACAAGATGACCCACAAGATGACCCACAAGATGACCCACAAGATGACTCGCAGATGTAGACTCACAAGATTACCCACAAGATGACCCACAAGATTACCTACAAGATTACCCACGAGATGACTCACAAGATGACCCACAGAATGACTCACAAGATGACCCACAAGATTACTCACAAGATGACTCACAAGATGACCCACAAGATGACCCACAAGATGACCCACAAGATGTAGACTCACAAGATGTAGACTCACAAGATGACCCACAAGATGTAGACTCACAAGATGTAGACTCACAAGATGACCCACAAGATTACCCACAAGATGACTCACAAGATGTAGACTCACAAGATTACCCACAAGATGACTCACAAGATGTAGACTCACAAGATAAACGTATTCTTTACTAATTCACAAGATGTAATGCATGATTTAAATACATTCTTTACTAACTCAACGATATAAACACATTCTTTACTAACTCACAAAATTTAGGGCACGATATAAATACATTCTTTATTAACTCACAAGATGTAGTGCGCGATATAAACATTCTTTACTAACTCACAAGATGTAGTGCGTGATATAAACACATTCTTTACTAACTCACAAGATGTAGTGCGTGATATAAACACATTCTTTACTAACTCACGAGATTTAGTGCACGATATAAGCAGATTCTTTACTAACTCACGAGATTTAGTGCACGATATAAGCAGATTCTTTACTAACTCACAAGATGTAGTGCACGATATAAATACATTCTTTACTAACTCACAAGATGTAGTGCACGATATAAACACATTCTTTACTAACTCACAAGATGTAGTGCACGATATAAACACATTCTTTCTTTTCTCTCCTTTTTTTTTTTTTTTTTTTTTTTTTTTTTTTTTTTATCGTTCATGTACATTTCTGACACTATGAATTTTAAATTTAG